ACCCAGTGACGATTGAGATGTTAGAACACTGTAATAGCTGTTACAGTATTTATATAAAAATCGATGGGACGTAATTAATCGAACTGATAGAACCTGGAGCGAATCAATAGAAGCAATTTTCGTAAGACAGTTTCTCGTCGCGAGAAATCGTAAACCGGCGGGGAATGGATCTGCTCGAATAAAAGTAAAATAGCGTGGATACGAGAAGAAGAGGAGGCTCGGTGGTGCCTTTCGGCGTCTCTTTCTCCGAGACTTTTATAGCCGTCCCTTTGGACCGGTCGAAGATCGATTCTCGGTAGAGGTGCGACTCGTATGAATTTTAATATTTATTACGTAATAAAGCCTGCGAGGGGGAGAGACCGTTCTACGGGTTTAATTCCCGGCTCGGAGGTATCGACGCGGCCGCGAGGGCCGCGTTGTTGATCGGAACTAGAAACTATTTTAGCGAGAATGTGACTCGCGTCGCGGCGAACGTCGGTGACTAGTCGCAGCGTGCCGTGACGACGGCCAGTTATCGGGTAACGGGTAACGAACGTGCTCGCGGCACCAAATACCGAATAATAAGAATAAAAAGTGAGGGGAAAAATCGTCCCGAGGGGGAATCGGGAATGGTAATGCAACGTTCGTTAACGAGTCCCTAAATAAACCGAGACCTAACTGTCTTTCATCACGGCAAACGCTCGCCGATTCTCAGATGAGATTTCCCGAAGAACGGCAAGCTCGATTTTATAAATTACCAACGAACCGGGTACCAGTCGAAAATGAGCCGGCGTTCGTCGTTTCAAGTATTTTCCCTATACGCTTGCTCGTCGCGGAATAGGAATCGACACGCGCAGAAAGGAGGCCAAACAGATTTGCGTGCAACAGTTTCGTTATACCTTGCCAATACATGAGGAACTAAATTCAATTTTCGTCTAGGCACTTTCAACTATTCATCGTCTATCCAAAATATTGTATCTCAAACAAAAGCTTCTCTCTTATCTACCCATACGTTGAGTCACAGTATAAACAATGAATAATTTCAATTAAATCGTACATAAAACGGAACGATTCTCTCCACGTTCATTCATGCCCCGAGAATGCCATTCCCACTCCGCATTGTAGGGGCACAGAGAAAACATAAATGTGAACAGCGAACGTGCGGCAAAGAATAGTGAGAGCGGGTGGTCGGTTTTTCAGTTTGTCGGCGATAATCCGCGAACGGGGACAAAGTAGCATATCGAGACGTGCAAGAGAACCGAGAGGTTTGTGTACGCAGACGGCACGCTCGCGGTGCCCGAACACGTGTTCCCTGAGGCCTCGGCCCGCTAATGCGTTACCCGCGCCGCCGCGTAAAAAGGTATTTTTTTCACGCGACGCGACGCGCGACCCTGCCCGGTGCAATGCACTTCACTTTGCAACAGACGAGAGAAGAGGCTCCCCCCCCCCCTCTTACCTTTCCCTCCATTGAAACATTACCGTTCGTTCAGCCTCTCGGTCTGTTTCGCACCTCGATGATAGCTGGATGAACTTACAATGTGCGAGCGGGAGAAAGTTTGCTCCTCGAGCCTCGCAGCTGGAGTGAGACCAGGTTGCAGCTCGAGTCCGCTGCACACCGAACGAGATTTGCATTCAATATTAGAAGAATATTCTTAAACGAAGTGGAACGATAAAATTATTTTTTAGAGACGAGTCGGCTTTGAATGTTTGAATGAATAATATTTAAGAGAACGATGTCGATCGAGATACAAATATATTAGGATAATAGTAACCCTGCAGTATCTGAATAAAGAAGGAAGAGAAGGTAGCCAACGATTAGTGGCACGAGTCAGATGTGGTAGAAAGATGGAACAGAGATCGAGAAAAACAGGAGAAATCCTGTGACCTGCGTGAAGCAAGTTAAGATACTATAAATTTATTTCGAATCCACGTTGGTTGACTGCAAGGATTATCATTATAAGTGATTGTTTATAAGACGTGCAGAGCTCGGTGCAGGCCGAAAATGAACGGTGACTCCAGGTGTCGTCGGTGAATAATTAACTGTGGTTAAAAGAGAGCAATAAGGGGTGTCGAGAGATATCGTCGCTTATCGGGTTTCGATGAAATTGACCAGATATCATTAAGGTGGACAGGCCTCGTGGGAGTGTTGGTGGCAACAGGGTCCCGGGAACATCGCAAAAAGGAAAAGGCCGCCGGAGGAGGAGGAGTAAGATAATAACGTATTCGACAGAGAATGGCATTGCTCTCGCGGTCGTATGAGTTACATAGGCGATTGAAACTCGTTCGCGATGTGAAAAAAAAAGACGATGCAGCGAAAGAGGAACAGTCCTCGGGGCTGTCGGAGGTGCTGCGGGATTTGCATATTAAATGGCTTGAGATTTATAACGGTCGGCTCTGAAGAGGTGCTAGCAATACGCGCGATAAATAAAGAACCGATGCGCCTCGTACTCTCTCCCAGCTCTCCCATTCTGTCGGATCAAATTCGCCGACGTTGGGAAACAACGTGATTCATTTCGCTTCAAAACGATTGTTGCGTCCTCACTTTAAAAATTGACCGAATCAGAGCTGATACTCAATCCTCAAAAATGTGTCGTGCAACGAAACTACGAAAATGAGACCGTCAAGAGCCGAGACTGTTCCGAATTTCTTGGAAAATGGAAGTAAGTTAAATTCAATCGATCTGGACTTCAGAGGGAACAGATTTTAGAGTAGCCGGCGATTTGTCGTCGAGGGGAACCGGTTCTAACTTATCGTCTCCAATTATGTTCCTCGGATGCGAATTCCGGGCCGGCTCGTCGGCGCGTTTGATATACGGACGAGCTTGGACACTCTGTTGCGAAATGGCCTCATAATACCTACAACCGCGCCGAATTTTCAGGTCATCCTGGAGATAACTACCCTGAGTAGCTCGGTGCTCTTTGCCACTGGCGGTAAACTTTATCGATGATTAACTTTACGACCGTTAATTAAGATAATCCTGTTGTTATTGCCAGGAGAGTGCCGCGTTACCCCACGAGAAACCGTCTAAAATCATTCAATAAGTATTGAACATATATAATTACTAGAATGCGTCGGATTCTTCTAATTTTTACACGAATAAATCAATTTAAACTGAATTAATTCGTTCGAGCTAGAGAATTGGTTGCACCCTCGAGGGGTGAGTCGATAACAAACACATATCGTCGGTGCGATCGTGGACCAACGTAGCCGGGGATGTGATGAATGGTCTTTTATATCTAGGGACGAGTGGTCGAGGTGTTATGAATCGCGTTAGCGTCGAATCATTGTTCGCGTCGGCACAATAAGGGGCGCTACGGGGGGTTGCTCGTTCGAGCTTCTTCTTTATATCCCCACCTGTCTCTACCCTTTCTTTTTGGGTCACTCGATTTTAATCGACCTTGTAAAGATCAACGATCGATTTCTGAGAAATACGATAAATCGATTTCTTATTCCCTCGTTCGATTATGATTACGTTCATTTCGGACGAGACTCGCACGGGTACAGATCGAAAAATGATAGGAACGAGTGTAATTGATTTTAAGGGATCTATCCTAATTATTTTCTCAAGGTGCGTACGATAATAGCTAGCCTGTTTCAAAGAGAATACAGAAGGGGCTTGACGCACCGTTGCCACGGTTGATCGATGGACGGGTCACCGAGTTTATAATTAGAGGATCGCGTTTCCGGTCCCGCGATTGTCTTATTACGACCGAACTCCGGTTGTGAAAAATATGTCTGTATACGACGCATCGAGGGACGCATCAATCACAAATTTACGATTCGAATGAATCGCGAGAAAGAGGGAAGGACAAAGCTCCGCGGTTTCCGTTGTTCCGTCTTAGAATCTAATTTCGTCCCGTGTCTAACGGAGGCAGATGCAACGTGTTATCGAACCTTTTAACCACGTGGACGTTTACGAGCATGCTCGGATGCGCGCGAGGAGCCTCCCGAGAATCCACGTGTTCAGGAAACGGGAATGCGGGTCGCACGTGTGCGTCTCTTCTCCAACGTCCGTGAATAATGCCTCGTAATTTTCGCAACGAATACACACGATCTCCCATCCTCGCCCTTTGATGCCTAACGCAGTTTTTCACAAAGGGAACGTCAATGATTCTCGATTAACGTGAAAGAGAAACCATTTAAGACGAAAGAAGTTCTATTCTCGCCCTCGAATCGAAAAGAATTTCGAATAGAAAAGGAATTTAAACGGCACTTTCATAATTTGCGATATTGGAAATATTGACTTTGAATCGATACAAGAGAAGCTGAATCATCAAAAGAGACGCGGCTCGCCGAATTTTAAGTATCTTGGCAAGGTTACCGAAGTATCTCGATACGAATAATTTTGCGCGACAATGCAAGCGACAGGTGCACAGGCTAAATATAGTCGATCACGTAAATTATCGCATCCGTGCGAATTAAACGCGAGCTAGCCTCTCGATACGATGATCAAATGCTTTCCGATGTGAGCATCGAGACTATTTGATCACAGGAAAAGCGTACTTATAAAAAATCCACGAAACGAATCGACCTTTCGCGAAATCAGATTCTGCAAAATCTCGGTTAAGTGGAATCGAAAGAGAGTCCGTGTAGGTGGTCTAAGGTTAAATCCGGAGATTCGTTTCGGGATTCGGGGGCGTCCCGTGTGTCGGACGTGCACGCACGCGGGATTATGACGAGATAGCGGGACTCGCTCGGAACGCGACCGCTTGCCAAGAGATCCGCAATACGTCTTCGCCAACGGGAGATGGAGACAAATGCGGCCGCGTCGAGCACGCGACCCAAGCTAGAGGCTCTAGACGCATTCTCGTCGGCGACGGAATCGGCCTTGGACGTCGATCGCCACGATCAATATTTGCGGAATTAATTCTTTCGTGCCAAACGATCCCGCGATAATCGTACCAACGCGCGTCATTTTAAATGCGACGGCGCCGTTCGCATTTGCACGTGTACCACTTGCATACACGCACGTCGTTAAGAGAATGTATCAGAAAAATATTAAGAAGATCTTTTAAACTCACCTTTTTTCTGCATAAACGTGAAGAGATCGTCCAGGAACTCCTTTCTCTTTGGATCGTCGCTGATCTCATAGAGCTGAAAGTCGAAGTAAATCGTACATATAGTACGTGGATGGCAAAATTGAAAAACAAAACGCGGAATATAAATTGCGGATTCTATAGGCCGAGAGTCTCGTCAAATCTATCGACTTCTGTGTTCGAATAAAATTCGGTCGTTCCATTGCGGAATAATAAAAACAGGAGTGAAACAAGTGGTGTGCTCATAGCGACAGGCAGATTAGTTAGCTCCGATTATTAATGATTCCGTTTAACCCGGCTCATAACCCGAAACCCCCTCAGCCAAACCGAAACTCCCTTGGGCTAACCGCGCGTATTATCATATTTGTTATGTACGATGTGTTATATCTAATCCGAGACTCTAATTGCTTTTATAATACGACTTCTTCCCTGGTCTTTTTTCCCCCCTTTCCGACTTCTACCGCTGTTCCTCGCCCGTCGACTCGCTTAAACAATTATTGGAAGTAATTGCCGTTCGTCGAAGGCTCTGTCCTCGCGGTTCTCGATCGGTCAAACCGTTTGGAACAATCTCCGCGCTCCTTTATCTCTTTCAAGCGACAGCTGCCGCGCGAGTGTCACACCGGACGACGACGATAAACCGCGCGAAACGTGACGTGGTCCAGCGATTTCCGCTTTTAGAAATTACGTATGTACCTGAGTCGCGCTCCGACCGAGACAAACGGTCGTTTAATAGAAACGCCGTCGCTTAAACGATGGATGCGTGTACCTACGAGTTACCTCCGTGCAATTTCGAAAACGTTATTATTGTTGGCAAACGGCTCGTATAGTCCTTTAATGTTACATTAAACGGTACGAACGACGATATATTCTGTTTATTTTATTATCCGTCGGCCAACGAAACTATTGACACAACGTTATATGAAAATAGCTTAATGTTGTACATCTCTCGCAAAAGTTCATAAAAACCCGTGTGCAATAAAGCGATCAACTTTTAGGAAAAATTATATTTAGGTTCGTCAAATTGTTCGATGCGTTCTTTTCAAGTCACAGAGAATTTTTGATTGACAATTTGAAAAACATAAGATTCTGTCGTATCAAATCTTTTTCTAAATGAAATCATCGAGACCTGAAATTCGTATAATTTACTCGACTTACGTAAGAACATTACTTACTCGGAGGTGTAACGTAACACATTTAAATTAATTCTCCGGTCGTCAATTCTACGACTGGCGTCACGTGTCTTTCCCGCGTGTCACGGGTCATAATTAATATTTCAATCGTATCGTAGTGCAAGTATTTTTTTCCCGCGCCAAAGTGCAATCGACATTGCGCGACGTTTTCAATGACAAAGGATACCAGTTATTGATCGCACGTGTTTTTAATAAGTGCCACGCGGTTAATCAGTTTTTTGTCTACCGCGCCGCGATGCAGGCCTCGCGTGCGAACACACAAGTGTTTCCGTCGTTGCCAAGGATACCGACACAGTGCGGTGCACCCACGATTCACTTGTTCAAGTTTCGACCCTTGGCACTACTACAGATTCTATGACAAATCCGTACCGTCGTCACCGGCATGAGATACGACTGCAAAGGATCAACGTTTACTGCGACGGAATTTAGACGGAACGGAGAGTTTGTTCACCGAAATGGCGATCGCGGCCCACTTATTCCCGCATTCCAGTGTTCATGGCAACGCCCTCGCGGCTCGTCCACCCTTGCAGGATGAAACGAGCGACTGGACAAACGAACGAACGAACGAACGAACGGATGGACGGACGGACGGCATTTCTCAAGGGCCATTTTGTACCACTTTCACGTGTTTTTTCTTTGGCTGGAGCGATGAGCTCGTTAGGGGCAGAGCCGGAGGGAAAGGACGGGGTAAAAGGTCCCTGGTGGTGGAACGAAGAGGGAAACGGCCGGTCCGAGGGTTCAACCAGCGTATATTGATTGATCTACAGTTAAGCGGACTGACGGCAGCCACGTGAAGATCGGGTAGAACCCTTCCCTCGTATCCTTATCCTTCACTACCGTAAAATAAAGAGAGGCGAACGGAATTTGCTCTCGATGATGCATGCTTCGCGGCCCCGCCCTCTCCTTCTCATCGACTGACGGGCCCCGGTGAATAATAATTCCTGATACAGCCGACGTTGATCGGGTTACTCTCGAGGTGGGACGAGGGAACCAGCTTAGATGATCGATGTACCCGATGCGATGCAGTCCTCCGCGTTCGCGATACGCTCGTGCCATCGCCAAACCGATTAACCATCGTTAGCATGCATCGTCGACATGTTTCATCGATTCCGCGGGCCGTACGTCTTCCGAATCTAGCCTCTCCCGATACCACCTAAGGCTACGCTCGGGGGAACGCGAGTTCGAGGTGGAGACAGTTTACGAGGCTCGAACGCGATCCGGAAGAGAAGTCACCGTAAAATTCGAGAGAAGAGACGAGAGCACCGTTTCAACGCTGCGCGTCGTTACTTTTACGACGAGTAATTATCGATGCGCCTCTGTACTCCGGAGAGAGATTCAGATAAACTCTTCCGGCCGATAAGAGGCTGCGATAACCGAGGGAAAGTGCGCGGTGTTTTCCTGGATAGATCGCGATCTTCGAAGCCAGCTAATTCTTGCGAATGATTCGATTCATTTATTGGGACGTGACCAGACAGTTGATCTCAGATCGGCACATTTCGTTCGACAGATAGCAAGCGCAATTGATTTTTGTCGTCGTACTATGAGACTCGTTGACTCGAGGTAATTAGATAGCCAGTTTCGCACGGATAGAATTGCCACCCGTATATACGCCGAGCCCCCGAGCGCGGGGTCGACTTCCGGTCGTAAAAGAGCTTTTATAAGGGTGCGTCTCGGGCGAAACGGAAACGGGTGCAGCCTTAAATAATGCGTCCGTTGTCGAGGTCAAGACACGGTGTCTTCTTCGAATACGCGCCTCCGCGAAACGAGACCGACTTTCCGTCATCCTACTTTCCACAGGATTTGTTTAATACACATTTTATTATAATACGCGCGAACTTTTTCAGGCGACAGTATTTATCCGTGGTTATTAATTAGTTTTTAGGCAGGCAGTAAACGTTGGCAACGTTCTTTTGAAGGAGTCACCGCGGATATCGCGATCAAGGTTTATACGACCGGTCGTAATAGCCGCCGCTACCATTATCCTTCTTGAGGGTATTAAAGATAGCGCTCACAATTATTATGATTATGAGAACATGTATAAAGTACGCGTATGCTTCGCCTGCCTTTCATAATGCCGAGAACGTGATGCCGAACCATCCCCTAACATAGACTTTACTGACAATTCAAGCATCCCTCTTAACTTATTCTGAATTAGTTCAAGCTCTATTCCATCGTAGAGAGTTTCTATTTTTTAAGCTCTGACCCTCGATCGAGCTCCTTACATTAAATGTTCATTATTCTGAGAAATATTGTCTTTGAATGGACTAAACAGAAATTGGGATATCATATTAAGGATGTATAGGCTATACACTTAAACAATGCTAACATGTTGAATTTGTTATTATAGATTCCTATTACTATTAAAAAGCTACCTGCAAAATTTTATATCAATTCATG